ATATAAAGTTCCAGTTTTCTAACGTTAGTTCTTGTTTGTTGGCAGGAAGCGAGCTGCAGCAGCAGGAAGTCAGGCCTCTGCAGGAGGAGGGAAGCTGATGGTCAGTCTGACATAAAAACATCTAACGAATATTTTCTGATCAAACACGGCGAGAACGCTAAACGATGAATGACTGCATCAGAGTTTCAGTCTCTGGAACAGTGGCAGCTAAACACAGGGCTGGCAGTCACTTTAAAGTTTTTGGAGATCTTCTGGAGACCCTCCACTTTATGTCTCAGGACCCACAGTGGACCCCCCAACCCAAACTTTAAAAACACTGACATAATATGTATGGAGCAGTATGAGGGTCAAAATTAATCCTTGTAGCAGGAGACTATATCTACGCCAGTTATTGATCTGATTAATGATAGGCCGGCACTGCTAACAGAGAGACCGGAGCTGGCAAATGTGAAGAATATTCAATTGTGTTAGCACTGGAGGGGCTAGAGACTAGCATGGATGAGTTGGCGCTAGCATTAGATGGGCTAGAGACTAGCATGGATGAGTTGGCGCTGGCATTAGAGGGGCTAGAGACTAGCATGGATAAGCTGGCGTTAGCATTGGAATAGATTGCCTCCTGCTACTCAAGGTTGCCAGATAGGACTGACAGTTTCCAGCCCAAACGCAACATAAAATCCACCCAACCACTAAAAAAAGACCAGCCCAAATCTCAACGTCCGTTGAGAATTATGTTAAAGANGTATATAATTAGCCCAACAAGTTCAAAAGAAGCCCACTTAGTTGGAAACCAGCCCAATCTGGCAACACTACAAAAAGGTGTTAACCTCTGGTTGTGCAATAGTGTTAATTTTGGCCCTCATACTGCACCATATAAGATGTAGTGTGGTGATAACTGAGAGTCATCATCTTCACTTTATCTGAGCACAGAGATAACTGTTAAACTCTGCATTCCTTCATGTTAGAGTTTGATTAAATGTTTTAAAACAATCTGAAAAACACAGAAATAAAAAGATGAGCTGATTATTCTCATAACATGCATCAAACACGTCAACATGTTTGTTTCTACACGCCTGATAACGTGTCGACACACCTACTTCTCTTCCTGTGGTCGTTAGCATGACGATAACATGTACAGCAGCATCACGCATCCTGCTGAGGACACGGGACACCAGAGGACAGAGACCAGCCGAGAGGACCAGGACATCAACTACGCCTCCGTCCAGTTCAGAAACAACCAACGCAACAAGTGAGGACACACACACACACACACACACACACACACACACACACACACACACACACACACAC